AGCCGGGGCCTCTGTAGCGGCGGGGTGGGTCCAGGCCTGCTGTGGGGTGTGCCCCACACCTTGCGGTCTCTCTGGGGAAGCGGAGTCTGGCAGCAGCGGTTTATTCGTGAGGGTGCTGGTACCTTCCTGCTCTTTTTTGGGCTTTTTGCCATAAAGGAGCAAAACAAACGCTGAGGGCAGCCTACTTCTTCTTCACTAGACCCAGGACTGAACTGCTCACCAGCTTCCTTGCGGTCTCTCTGGGGAAGCGGAGTCTGGCAGCAGCGGTTTATTCGTGAGGGTGCTGGTACCTTCCTGCTCTTTTTTGGGCTTTTTGCCATAAAGGAGCAAAACAAACGCTGAGGGCAGCCTACTTCTTCTTCACTAGACCCAGGACTGAACTGCTCACCAGCTTTAGCAAGGGACGGTTTCTTTTCTGAGCGCAGCTCGTGCCAACCTAGGCGCTTCAGAGCGGGAGCCAGCCTCCAGAAGCACATGCCTGTTAGCGGCGGGGCAGGAGGAACGTCAGCCTCAACGCCATCGGGCCCCTGATGCCTGTTGCCTTCTTGCAACGCGAGGAACGTGGTGCAAGACAGCAGCCCCTCCAGCAGCCTCGTGCTACGTGAGGGGATCCATAAGGAGCACGCTACGCAGTGCAGGGCCAGGATGCGTGCTTCTCCCCAGCAGTGTTGCTGTGCACATGCAGCACAGGGGTCGGTGTGGGAGGCGGCTGTATGGCTGCAGCATACCCCAGAGAGTCCTGCCCACTACCTGGCCAAAATTACGAGAGCCTTCCCCTAGAGACTGAGGGAGCATCAGGACTCAATAAGACTGTAACGTCGGATGAGGAAAGAATGCCTGTCCTAAGGAATAAATTTCACATGATTGATGTTTGTGCTTGCCTATTTTTGTCATTATGAGAAAAGCACATATGACTAGAAGGAAGAGTGGGTTTAACAAGGCAGGGGGATGGGGGGGAGGCAGCATGACAGATGTAGCTGCCAGAATGACTCTTGTACATCTGCTTTCTTTAGCAGATTACAGCTCTTTTTCTCCCGCACAGTGAATTTGAGACTCAGCTGGGATTTTAGCCCTCCGAGAGATTTGCTGTTTCTAGCTGTGTTTGCCTGAGGATCTTTGACTTCATGCGATACAGAATACTTACAGTTGAAGACTTCCCAGCTGCCCTTGCGATTTCGTCTATGCTGTACTTGAGTACGCTCGCTAACATTAGCACATTTTATCAGAAGGCTAATAATAACAGCTGTGCAAAATTGTTCTAACCATCTCCACTGGAAAATACTGTTTCTTCAAAATTACAAAAGTCAAGTTTGACAAAGTATCCAAGCAGATTTTTTTTTTTCAGAGTAAAGATTAAACAACATTTTGATTTAACTTATAAATTAAATTGATAGTTAAAAAATCAAGATTAGAAAGGATGTTTTGCTCTATTAAACAACACCATTTTGAATGAGTCAAAATGATCTTGGGGGTTTCTTTTCCCCTAAAAATACCAGTTCCTGGGATCATGAAACAATCAAAAAAATACTGTCTTTTTTTTTTTTTTTTTCCCCTGGCCTTTATGGATTTGGGGAAATGCCTGAGAAACAAACCACTGGGATGAATGTTTTCCTTTCTAGAGCTCTGGGAGAAGTCCTGTGATACAGCACATCAGTTAGGAGGCAGCTCGTGCTAGGAAGTCTGGTCATCCCAGTGTCCAGGTAACGTTACAGCTCACCCGCGCTGGGCAGCAGAGACATGCCTTGACTAATCAAAATAAGGCTGCCACGTGGAGACCGAGTGCTCAGCTTGTAGTGTCTAGGTCACTGTCTGGGACCCAGAGAGACGTACCCACAGTACTTGGGCTCTGGAGAGGAGCAGAAACCCTCTTCAGGGTCTTGAAAACTGTCTGATGGATGCATTAGCGCAGACCACAGCAGGGGCTGGAACAACGCAGGGCTAAGATTAAGCCTCTGAAATAGGTTTACAAGAGAAGCAAGGACAATAGATGAACCAAGACCTTTTAGTACAAAAAGATACTACGAAGCAGAGGTTAAGATCCTTCCATGAGCCACTTTGCCACTATGTATTCTGGCTGCAACCTTTCCAGGAGCAAAGTGACTGACAGGAGACAAAGGCCGTCAGCTTACAAAAGTTCACAGCACCGCTTTTCCTTCCAGGCAATGGCACACTCACGTTGGTTTCCCATCAAATAAGGGGTGGGATCGCCACGGACTTTCAGCTACATCATCTTTCCCAGCTGATTCTCTCCAGTCTGTGGCAAACCCTCTTCTCCTGCACCCTAGCACCATGCTGGCTGCAAGCCAGCAACATTGGGACTTTGTCATCAAACAATGTGGTTAATAATGTACCGTCAAGTTCAACACATCTCGGTCTCTGTGGTCCCTTCTGAGAAGGAGAGAGGAAACTCCACAGCTGCATTTCCCCAGGCAGGACTGCCACCTGCTTGCAGCTTCCCAGAATGGGAGTACGTGAGTATGGCCCAGTCCCTTTGCAGAGCTGCAATGCTGAGTATGCTGGTAGCATGGTAAAGCCTTTTGTAGAGGCTCTTTCTGGGCAATATTGATCTCCAGAGAAAGTCTCTGTGGGAACCAGCCCCAAATATCTTCAACGTGCAGCAGAACAATCCTAAACTGCAGGGTAAGCAGAAGGCACAAGAGGGAAATAGCGTGTACATTATGCCAATATAAAGACCATACAGCGCTCCTGGGGAGCTTAAATGTACCGCCTTGTGTCCTCCTCCAGATTGAATTTACACTGCTAGATAATCCAGCTTTTGGTGCATCAGGGCCCAGCTAGCTTGGGACCGTACCCTAAGGCAGGAACCTTAATACAGGTTCAGTGATCCCAACCCAACAAAGCCATGTGGTACCCCCCAGAGCACCAGGCTGAAACCATGCTGAGATCACACTGCTCTTACAGTCCAAACCTTTCTGACAGGTATCCACCAGGAGTGGGAGGCTCATCCTGAGCAACAAAACCCTTCCCCACACAGATTACATGGGGAGGAGCATCCCTCACCCATGGCTTGTATTTGTTTTTTCCTTCACTGATAACAAAACCTTGCAGGCTTTCTGCAGCCACTTATTTAGAAGTATATTGACTCCTTGAATAAAATTAATTTTTCTCTAATGTGGAAGAGAAGACAGTTTTCGTATTTAGCATTCCTTCTACTCCTTAGATACAAAGTATTACTTAGAGTTGTATTGTGTTCATAGTTCCTCCTGGAAATGAGAAAAAAAACCCCGTGAAAGCTCAGATTATTCATTTTAAACGTGCTTCTGGTAAAGATAAATAAAATAAGCTTTATAACAGCTTTCTCAGGTCTTACCATGTTTGGCATGCACATTTCTGGACAGGGAAAGGGCCAGGGAGCAGGGGAAAGCAAACTGAAGGACGAAAAGGAACTTCTTGGGACTACTCAAAAGCCAAAATGGGAGCAGCCTGGTTTACGGCCCCAGAGAGCCCATGCAGGCCTGGCAGGCAGAAAAGACAGCTTTTGACCTGCAACTGTGACAGATTTTTGCTGGGCTCCACCCCAACCTGTTTGGCAAAGTTGCAACCAAGTTCTCAGCATCTAGCCTAGCAAAGGGCACGGAGTAAGCAGCCAGCGCCTGGCAGAGCACAGTCTGTCCTGCAGCAGGGGAGTGCTCCCCCAGGGCATACGCCATGCAGAAACTGCCTCATCCCTAGGGGGGCTTAAACCACAGCTGCTTCGTTAACACTCCCCTGTTGGACTGCAGAAACAGGGGACGTCAAATAGGGAGGCGGGGGAGTCCCAGCACCCCGGTGGTGAGATTGACCGTACTCATGTCAGAGCAGCTCTGCTAGGTTGCCTTTGTAGTGATACTGCCTCTTCCTCCTTGCCCCTAGAGCCCATGTGTCAAACTCATTTTCTCCAGGGAAGGAGATGTGGTATCCAGGCTGATAGCATGGGCATCACTCAGCAAAAGCTATTGAACTAGAGAGAGATTTTGTAAAGATGAAGCCCACAGACACTTGAATTTCAATTTTTTGTCATTGCTGCTATTACTCCCTGCTATCTTAGACTTCAGCTAAGACGCCACACTCAAAATCTGTAGCATGGATTCAGCTGAATCAGCTTCATTATCTACAGGGACATGAGGTGAATTTCTGCAGCACACATGAATCAATTTATAGAAATATTCTTCATGGCATAGGCAGATTTTTCAAAATTCCCTTCACCAGCCCCCTGACCAGAGTTTAATTTTCATTGTTTGCTCTGTGAGTTCTAGTTTTGTTGCTCTTCCAGCTTGTCCCAAAGCACCGGTGTGGAGCAGTACAGGTGCTGATGGCAACCAGACAAGTCAGAGACTGCTCAGACCTCACTGGTTCCTCTGCTAGGGAAGTGGAGCTGATTTATTCCTTCAGCTGTGTACCACTCAGAGCCTGCTGTAGGTCCTTGGCTCCTGGATCTTGATGCTTATTCTTTCGTAGCTTAGTCCAGTTCACAATTACAGCCTAAGGTATATTTTATAAACTGCAGTACACAGGACACTTCCAAACTGATTTACAGGCTGCAGCTCTAGCATCTGTTAATGCCTTATTGATTCCTCTTTCTGTATCTCCATGTGATCTCTCATGGATTCATCAGATTTGGCTCAGTTTATCAGGTCAGTATCATCCTTATCTTTAAAGATAAAGCAATTGAAAGCTTGGTGTTGCCCACACGTGCCAGATTCGTGTGGAAGCTACATAACCATCTGTGCTTAAACATAGTGACAAGATGTGTCACTGCAGGAATATTGACGGAAAACATTCTCACTTGACAGAGCTGGAAATTCAACATTAAACATCCAGAAGTAAATCCAATGTCCTCTTGCACACTGAGGTATTAATATGTGTGTTTTTGAGCTTGCATGGGTTTTTCTGTTTAAGCCCTAGCACCTTCACAGTCGCTGCACTGTGATCCTTGATCCTTTGCCTGCTCCCTCTGCCCTTTCTTTGCTCTGAGCTTTCCGACCAGGCAATACCTGCTGCCTGTTTGGGGCCCAGGTTCCTCACCTGCCTTTTCCTCCGGAGCTGTTAATGGCCTGGCGGGCACAGTCTGGCATCTGCTTTCAGCACATTCATTTATTTAACACCCGTTATGATTAAGCATAATCCCTGCGAAGAAGGAGAGCCTCTTCCACACTGTTTGTCACAAATACTGCCAAGATGGAAACCAACTAAGCCAAAATGTGACTGAGACTCAATAACTGTGGAAACTGGCAACTTCTGGCCGGTGACCCAGCCCCTGCTTGTGCTTAGCCGTGCCAGTGCCCTGCGTGCCATTTGGCATGGAGACCCTTCTAGCACGGGGCTGTTCATGCTCTTTTCCGGAAGGACAGAGGAGCCCGTGGTTTTCTTTTAAAAGCACATAACTGCTGTCCAATTGATGTCTGCTTGAAATTAAGAGATAACAATTTACTCATCCACTTGCTGTTTCCATGTGTCAGTCTTCTCGGGGAGGCTTTACAGCTCTGTGCTTGATGTGAGGCTGTGTAACATGTCCCAGCCAGGAGCTCGGGTGCTGCCTTAGCTGCTGAGCAGTGTTGTCTCGCCTGGAGATAGCTCCTCACTAGTGGCTGTGGTCTGAGCAAGAGAGCCCACGCTGCACAGACCCTCGCGTCACGCTGCAAGCTGCTGCACTCTGCTGACCGGGGCTACAAAGCCACTGCCAAGGTCAGCCAGCTGATGCCAACAAAGAGGCAGCCTGATGTATTGGGTTTGCGTGGCAAGGTTTTAAGGTTTTGGAGTGGGGGGGCTACAGGGGTGGCTTCTGTGAGAAGCTGCTAGAAGCTTCCCGTCCGACAGATCCAATGCCAGCCAGCTCAAAGACGGACCTGCCGCTGGCCAAAGCTGAGCCAATCAGTGACGGTGGT